AACAGCAGAGGCGCCGCCGCCGCCTGCAGCGGCACCGGCACCACCGGCAGGCGCCCCCCCCCCCCCCAAAAACACCCGCCCCCCCCCCCCCCCCCCCCGCTTCCGCGGCCCCCCGCCACCGGGGGACACGGGGGTGACGCATCCATCCACGGAGCGGCTCCTGGTCCCTTAAATATATATAACTTATATAAAGTATCTATATATTATATACATATGTTTAAATCTGTAGCATAGCTGCTCCTTTCCCCATTTCTTAAACTACAAATTAGATTATTTTTTTTTTTACTTCAATAATGTCCCACTAGGGCTTTAAAAAAAGGGCTCCAGCAGAATATATAGCGTTGACCATACTATTTTCTTTTTAAACATCTTAATACTCACTTTTGCACCACGACGTTTCTTTGTGAAGGGGTTCCACCTCTCTTTTACCGGTGGGCAAAAAGGGTCACGTGACTGTTCACAGGGTACCTAAATTCAACAGATGCCAAAAAGGAAAACCATCGGGGTTTAAAAACGCTGCCTTCAGGAGTTATTTGTTGGCCCACTATTTGTTTATAGAAAAGAAACAGTCTGTTTACAGAAACAGACTCCAAGGAATGACATTTCTAGCAAAAAAAAAAAATTACAAATAAATATACAAATTCAAACTGTAATAAAGGGTAAGATTAAAAAAAAAAAAAAATCCACATGAGCAGTTTTCCTGGAGGGAGGAACATGACTTGCAAATTCCCATTCTTAGTGGGACAGCTACTGTCAGTCACCTAAAGCCAAACAGAGTCAAACTCACTGTATAAATAGGCTTAATTTTTTTTTTTTTTATTCCCAGTATTAAACATATGGTGATTTACCCTCTAACCTGAATATAGCATAATTTAAAAATTGGGTTAAACTTACTCTTAAAAAGCTTAGAGCAGAAAACTATGACCCTGAAAATGGAATTATCAAGAAGTAAAAACCCCACTTTCCTTTGAAAAGCGAAGTAACTCTCTAGTTTCAACAAAAATATCACCCCTCAAATAACTCATTAAACAAAACACTGTGTCAATTTTTATTTACCTGAAAATTAATTTTGCTGATGCCCCCCTTCTCCCAATCGTTGTCTACCCAGTTCCAAGCATAAATTCTGCTTCGAACTACTTCACACATGCGCTGCTGAGTTTCGGCATGATAAATCACTCCTGTCCATAAGACAACGCAAAAGCAACTTCTTGTCTTTTAATTCTATGTCAGTTTGAAAGGAGAAAGATTAAGTTATAACATCTGTTTTGGGATTCCCTGCCCTCTAAACATGCAAAAATTGCAAGTTTAAAGTTCTCTCAGATAATTCTACCATTTCCTTCATGCAGAAAAAAACCCCACATACTGTAATTTTTATAGCACTAATCTTTCCAAATAAAGCTTTTAAAGACATTTGGCAATTTACAAAAAGTTGTATTTAACCAAGCTTTATTTAAAGATTACCGTAACATACCCATGCCTTTTACATATACACTTGTGTGTTTTTCTTTCCGGGAGGGTCTATTAAAATTGAGAAGTGTTTTCCTCAATTTCGTCAAGATAGCTTTGCTGTATAATTCAGAAGGAAGTCAACACACAGTTTTGCCAGTTTGTGAAAGCTTTTTCTATTTCACTCATTTATTCTAGCTCTCATGTCAATTCCATTGTTCCATAACAGTTAAGGTTTACAGCCTTAAAATAATAAATGTATTTTCTTTTCACATTTTACAAGTCTATTCCGCGTTGTTTTCACTTCTGAGAAGCAACAATACATGACTTTGAACACCTACTATCACATCAGTGACTGGAAACGTCTACGCAATTTTTTTCTAAACAGTGAAGTTCAGCTGAACAGTGAGTCAGGATCTCTTTCTGCAGTTTCATTTTAGCTTTTTCTAGAAAGATAGATTCTCTGGAAATATAAAAAAGACTGCAAATGATATCGGACAGCAACTCATATAGACAAGCTAGACAAACAGAGAGGCATTATTGAACAATGTTTAAAGCATCAATCACAGTATTTCTCTATTCCATGCATTCCACATCCTGCTGTTGATCTAGAGGACGTGATGAAACAGGCTTCACTCCTGCTTCGATTATTCTGTGACTTTATCCTTCTGTCTTCTCTTCTATGCAAGAAATGGTTTACAATATATTAAAATTGACATAAGCAGCCCTATTGTGACCCAATTTTGTACTGGTTCCTTCGACTCCCATGTTTCTCCCCAAATATCACTGTGGTCATAATCTCATTTTATTAACAAAGCAACTGTTGCTGCTATATAGAACAGCACTTCAGTCTTCATCACGTGGACCAGAATACACTGAAGTTGTGTGATAGTTCTTGTTACTATTTTAAAAAGTAAATCATAGCTCTAACTACTAGTAGAAGTAGGCAATAAAGCAGTTTTCTTCAGAAAACTGGTTTTCAAAAACTGATTAACGCATGTGAACTTGAGCAATTCCAAAGAAAATGTCACATCTAACGGAACATGTTTCTACTGCAGAAAAGTCGTCATTTGAAACAAGATCTACAGGGCAGCAAACAATCATTAAGATGCTTTATTGACAATATCCACTCACCGCAAAAGTATTTGCCTGCATACAATTAGATCTTAGCTTTTCAATAGTGTTTTATTGGCAGTGGAAAATGCATCAGTACTTTATTGAAAGAAAGCAATAAATAATACTGTGATAAAAATAGTTCCAAAGTAGACTGTACATATTGTTACATAATCTGAAAATACACAAAAGATTAATAGAAAAACAGAGCAGTAACAATGAATTTCAGTTTTACAAGCAAGTTAAAAGTGGAAAACAAAATAAGAAAAAAGACATGCTATATATATTGTTGCATAATAAATAATGCACCATCTGAACAGATTCTTGCTGGCTTTTTAATATGCCATTTACAAGTGTTGGATACATTTTCTACTCATACAGTCCAAAATGCCTACAACCATCAAAATTAAAGTCCAGACAACTCTTTAGAACAAGTTTACAAAACACAAAAGATGACTTACGTAAGAAAAGTAAGGCCTTTATTAGAAGTTGCACTGCTTTAGTTTTCAGCCCACTGTACCTTCATCTTTCACTACTCATTTGACATGAGACGGCAGTGCTTCATGATTGGTCCATTGAAACTAGTTTCACCAGCATCTCTCCGCAAGTGTTTTCAATCAAAAAGATCTAGAACAAAAACTCTGTGGTCTGTGGATTACGACCAGGAATTATTACGAAGTCTATCTTCCTCAGTTAAGGAAAAAAAACCCAAAAAAACAAAACAGTTCTTGGTTTATGGCTTGTTTTCAGTCACTGTGAAGATATGCTATACAAATACAGCAGAGTGTTATGACCGAGTCAATCACTTCTAAAACGTGTTCCGTAGTGTTACTAGGTCTTCCCAGCTTTTAAAACAAGTTATAATTTTAAATAAAGACAAATTCCCACTACTCGACAAATCCTCTTAGTGGAAAGGTACAGTTCTGAAAAGAAGAACAAGCATGTACCATACCTTCTACAACAACATATCGCTTACCTGAAAAAAAGCTGGACTTGTTTTCAGATCTAAGCTAACATTTCCAAAAGACAAAATATATACTGCTTGGTGTCATGATACTTTTACAAAGGTATTAAAATCCTTTTCACCTTCAGTTTCATTATTAAAAAACAATGATAATTACAGTAACTGCATAATTTACAAAAACCCTATATTACTTATAGGGACATATACATACAAGCATTACAGTACATTCAGTTGGAAAGACTAAAATTAGAATAAAAAATCAGCAATGTTGATTTGTAGACTGAATAGAAACAGAAAAAGTAAGTAACTATATAAATGAGAAGTCACATAAATATAAGAAACATTTAGATTCTAAAATATTTTCTCTATAGTACTCATGAATTTATTTGCTAATTAAAAACTCTGTAATAAAATATCTCAAAGTGTCCATTTAACAAGTATTAACAGGTTAAGGGTTCCAAATGTTGAAAATGCTGCATATCACCGGTAGAAATAGTGTGGGTAAACTGTAAAAACAACGACAAAACAAACAAAAAACACACAAAAAGAAAAACACACACACAAAAAAATCCATTAGTGGTTTCTTGGGTTTTTTTTTGTTTGTTTGTTTTTTTTAAAACCTCATTCTAAGTTTCTCGCAAACAGCTCAGTACTGTAGCAGTCATGCACTGAATTATTGCCATGCCACGATGTTCACAATTTTATTGCCTTCTGTAATCTTCAGTTGCAATGCAAAATAAAGCACGTGAGGTCAAATATTTGTGCTTCCTAGATTTTTATTCTAGGTCATCTGACTATAGAAAATCCTGAAACAGTGGGGAGATTTTGGGGGAAGACTTAAAACCTCAATATCTTGAAGCTAAAAAAAAAAATGTTACGATAGCCCCTGAGATTATACACTGACAGATCCACATGAGCTGAGCTGCTATGTGCAAGAGTTTCCCCTTCGCAGCACTTCATACATAAGAAGTCTTTAGAACTAAACGTGTATATGCAAAAAGGTTCAGAATTCGAAGAAAGGGCAGCCAATACATGAGTTGGTAGGGATGTTACTGGTAAGAAGAAAGGAAAAGCTGTAAGCAGAAGAGACAGGCAATTTGTAACCTGTGGAAGATACCAGCTAGTGAAAGATTCACTGGAAATTTTAATTATTTTTTTTTTAAATCCAATATAGTAAAAAAAAAATTAATTTCCAGACTTTTTCGTAAAATGAGAGAAATACTGTTCCATAAGAAAATACAGCAGAGGCTGCTGAAGGAAAATCATTCCAAATCCTGGAGTAAGGACTACAAATCTTTCATAAGCCGTAATACCTGTATTGTGTGTTAAACACCCTTGTGTTATCAAGCTGCCTTTTATGGTCAGCACTGCTCACAGCCACCCAAATTTAGGCTGCACATAGCTTGATCCAAGCGGACAGCCTAAGCACGAAGCATCCAAGAGTTGGAAAAGTATGCAATTATTCCTATAACAATTCAATACTGAAGTATATAGTAGTGGGATAACTTTGACCAAAGACTCTGAAAGATCAATAATCTGAACTGCAGTGTCATACACTGAATTATTTTCTTTCCTTTATATGCCTAATTTAAGTTTCCTTTCCTCCTCCCCACTTTCACTAGCTGTTTCATACAACCTTTGATTTCAACACTTTCTACATAGCTATTTACCACAGGTCCTTTTTTAGGCTGTTTAAAAAAAAAAAAAATCTCAAAAGAATACACTCTTTACAAAAGTAAGTATTTAAACTCTCATAATCTTCATTGTAGGAAATAATCTCAGGATTTTCAATGTAACAATCTACCCTGAAAACATGAAAGTTTTGTAAGTATGTAAATCCACTGTATTAAAATACCTGATGTTTTATTTCATAAATAGCTGTTTTACTATTATACCTATCAATTTTACTCACCAGGAGAAGGCTTTAACAGGAGTAGGTCCTTACTGTAGCAGAATCCAATCTTTGTGTTCCTGATACACTGCCTATTTCAAGAAGCATGGGAAGACATGCAGAACACAGCATGCATGTTAGTCTTCAAAAAAAACCCCTTTCTCACAGCAATGTGATTACAGCTACTGTACTCACCCAAATCTAAGGTTACAAGTTAGAAAAAGAGAATTTGTTTTACAGTTTATATATTATCCACTTCTAGTTTCAGTGGTTAACAAAGAATTAAAAAAAAAAAAAAACCCCAAACCTGCATGCCAACTAGCACACAGAAATTGGCAAAGGTAATTTTATAACTTATTTATTTTCTATTTTATATACTTAAAATATTTTTCTGGGATTTTTATATCATAAAAGAAAGGGGGTTTATGTGGTAAAGACTTCACTTATTTTAATTTACAGACTCCCACATGAACTCTGGAAAATATTTTGTGATACTGGTGACAGTATTTAAAATTTAAAACAGCTCACATTTTACAGAGCAACATCAGATGCAAAGGTTTTTTCTTTGACCTTTACTCAGAACCTGAGACAACTCTGACAGGTTATGCCAAAGTTCTCATCCTGTCTGTTCCAATTAAATACATTCTCCATTTATTTTTACTTGTGTTTTGTAAAACAAATTCAAGTTCAAGTTTACGTTCACGGTACTAAAGACGCTTTCTTTAAACAGACAAGATACCTCATGTGACAGGTGACCAACTCCCACTTCCAGGTGGGTTTTGGGGGGATTGGTTTGTTTCTTTTTTTAAATACATATCTCTGTGCGTATGCATGCACACGCACACATATACATATAGATTGTTAAGTACACAGCAATGACTGAAGCAGTGATTTCAAGTATGATCAATACTTAAATGACCACTGCAGGGGGAATAACAAATCTTTTACTCAAGTTTTAATAATGTTAAAATTACCCGAGGGAGTTTACTGCATTTTTGAATGCATTTTACTGTATTTCAGAAGTAGGACTTACATTGGCCTAATTGTTGCTAATTAGAAATTATGCATCACATGATTAAAAGACTTCTACTGAAACGTAATTTTATTTGCCTAGTTTAAGATAAATTTATTTCTAACTATAATTCTCATTTTGTTATTCCAATGAAGTAAAAAAACTCCGCATCTGTTACAGCTTCCTCAAATTATAAAGCACCCTATGGTTAAACACAGTGTTATATTTATACAACCATGCACCAGGCAGATGCTTTTATGCAGCAAAAAGGTAATTTGAACTTAATTCCCCTGTAAACTCAAGCAAAAAAAGTGCATCATGCTTAAAATAATACAAAAATCAATACCATCAATCTGCATCTTCTTTGGCTGCATAGAGGGTGAAGACATTGAGGTTGTAACTCTGAAATTTGCAGGAAGAGTCTCTGCTGACCCAGCAGCTAAACCTCTAATGTCCTTTGGTCTAAACTTCTTTCTCCATGAAGGTGCTCTCCTAAAGCTCTTATCGTCGTCCTGTTATATTGATAAACATCATTAGTGATTCAGAAAATGTAGGACTGTTATTGACATTAAAAGATTACCCACAATCTTAAGGAACTGTATCACCACCGAATGAGTTAATTTTCAGAACAGTTGAGGTGCAACAGCAGCAGTAATCTTCATTTGCAAGAATCTGTGTTCATTTGCTAGAGTGTAGGCTCTTCAGCTCAGTAACTATGGAAATTCACGTGCTCAGCACATTTAGGAAAACGATTTTCACTTCAAATGTTTGTACTTCATGATTTGCAGTAATTTTTAAGTGTCACATCACTCATTCTTAGGGGATGTGAGGAGCGGGGCACATCATAAAAGCTGCTTTGGGAACACTGCCATATAGGGGCTTAATTTGAACAATTGCTTTTAACCTTCAATTCTGTCTTACAGGAATGATGATACCGCTACTGTGCTTTCTCATGCTCCAAATTCCAGGAAGTGGCAGTGAGGGAAAAAAGGGTAAGTGCAGTAAATACTACATTGCCTTGCAGCATTTTGCATAAGCACTTGGGTAAACTTGTAATTACCTGGGTGCATTTTCCCCCCATTAATACATCTGCATCTCTGAAGTAATATTCCACTTCAGAAATACAATACTGCACTTACTAAATACAACAGTTTAAGTCCCAATTCCGAAAATGTCTTTTGCAGTGAAGGTATTGTGTCAATGCATACGTACCCGTTGTGCCTCTCCATTTGCCAACTTTACCTTTAGAAACAGTTCAATGATTTGAATGTTGTTTTACCTAAAATTTACCCCATTTTAGACTTAGGAGACAAGTGTCTGCATTATTTGAAGAGAGCTTCAAGATCAACAAGCTGCCCTGTGCCGCTAGAACAGAGCCAACATCCATTCCCTCAAAGCTCCTTCTCTTGCAGTTTGAACTCACTATGGAAAAATACCTTAGAAAACTATCATGCTGCTTTCTGAAAATGTTATTAAAACCTTAGTAGAGATGCATGCTGAGAACAGAGCCGTCGGGATGTGCCACAAAAGGGTTGCAACAAGTCCATTAAGCAAAAGATAAACACAGAACCAAGCACGGTCTGTCACAGCAGCCTCCTTCCTCAACGCACTGGGGTATGCTTCACCTCGCTGATCCAAAAGCAGCTGAAGTCAGCACTTTCACGCTTCCCCCGTCCTCTTCCTCATACCAGCATAAATGTTTCTGAGATATTGTGGACTGGTTCCCCAACCTGGTTAACCACACCAGGGTTTCGCCACCTCAGTCTTAATCTGAACCACTTTCACGTACATGAGCAACCACAAACTCCCATTAGCACCAATGAAGAGGCAGCACAGAGTTCGGAGCCTCCTGGGGAAGTAACACCCGCTTGAAACTCTTCACCAAGTTACAGCACAGAGCAACTTAAAAGGTCAAAGATGTCACAGTCTCTCCTTTATCCTATGGGTTCATAGGGTCTACAAAACGGTCTCACACCTAGTTTGTTAGAGTTTTATACTCATTACATTTGAATGGAGTTTATACACCGTAAGAGCACAGACTGCCTGACAGGAATTACTCTGATGTGCAAACATACCTGGTGGTCATCTATACCAGTATTAATGGATATTAACAACATAAGCTTTCTTGAAATACACTCCAAACTATTGGAAATACTGCTCATTAGGACAAAGATTTGAAAAGTGCTGTGCAGCACCTTTCTCTGTTATAGCCTGTTCATCTGCAACACCGGTCACTAATTTTCCCACATTTCAGGTAGAAAAAGAAGATTCAGCCTAAAGTGCTGCTATTAGATATTAACCACGCACACTACAAAAAACAAACTTGCAAGTCATCTCAATACTTTCATATTCAAAGTCATCTTACCTAAATACACAAAATCTGCCATATTCAGAAACTCTCAAGACAAAGAATTTCAAGTGAAGATTTCTGTCAGTAGCTTAAAGAGGTTCAAGCTAAATTCTTTCCCTTAACAGTTTGGATAAAGTTCCCAGGACCATAAAATGGGTCAAGTAACTTACTTCTTCAAGTCTTCTGTCAGTGCCCATAGCAAGAAGGTTATTAAATTCCCTCTCCAGAACAGCACGAGCCTAAAGTTTATAGTACAAAAGAAATGGAAATTAATTCCAAAAGATTAGTAATTAGTAACCTACAGTAATTCTTAAAACAATACAACTCAAAAACTGTTTAATACCTTATCAGATTAATAAACATAAATTGTAATTTTTCAAGTACTAAATAAGTCGTAACATTAAAAATATAAGGAAGACTTAACAGCTCCCCCTTTCCTTAGCTGTGATAGGAAAGTTCATGATTTCCGGCTCAAACTTAATTATTTCCAAATAAAAACTAGCAAGCAACAAAAATGATTAGTTTTACACTAGCACTATGAAGATAGGCTGTAAGGAAAATACTCAATGTTTTTTGTTCAAGCAAATTTCTCAACCAGAATTGTTATTAACAATTTGAAAACAGTAAAAAAAGCATGGTTCTATGTTTTTCTCTTACAGGATAAAATGATTAAGGACAGCTTTCCATTTCTAGTTGCTAGAGCTGGGAATAGAAGGACGTTCACTTACCTAAGACAGAAAAAGTCAGTCAGTTCCATTTTTAGCCTTCCTAGAGAAGAGAAATATCCTATCGGCCATAAAGTAACTATTTATTACTTACCTGTGTGTTTTGAGTGGGTATTTGTAACAAGAGAGCTAATGCATTGTAATCAAATGATTCATCTAAGGCCACAAGTGCACCATGAACTCCGCTCTCTATAAGATTATTCGCGTATTCTTTAAGACCAATGGACACTACCCAATGCATCATTCTTTCGTTGCTCCAGACAAGGACATCTATGGAGAAAAAAAAAAAAAGTTGTGTGATTTCTAACAATACAACTTTTCTGAACAAAAAAACCCACAGTCCTTTCTTGATCTCTATGCTCGTGTCAGGATTGATTTTTACATATACACAGTTCATCATAAATGCTGTTAAACAGAAGCCCTCAAGGAACTGCTATTTAACATTTAGGTTGTGATCTAACCTGCCCCTGCCTTTTTCGTGTGCATTGAACGCTCTGATTTGGCAACAAAAGGTAATGCTGAGAGTCCAATGCTCGCTGTTGGATCCTTTCCACACAGTAGCTTTCCTTGCACCCAGAAGGAATCATCCTCACACAGCCTCCTCTTTCCGCACACAGAGGGAGGCTACAGTCACAGTTCTGAGAAGTTCAGCTGGGCACTGAAGTTCAGAAGTGCAGATGGGGAAGACAGGATCTTCTATTCTACACAGCCACTTACGGGCTTGGACCTCACCCGTGCCAAATTAAATATTTGGGGAAAAAAAATTAAATACGCAAAAAGAAAAATCTCATAGCAGCTTCTCACACACTTCCTACTGAATTTGAACAGAAAGCTTTATTTATCATCATTGTTTAAAGCTTTATTAGTAGTAGTTTTATAATTTTATCTACCTTTAAGTTCTGAAGGGGTTCAATTTAGTAGTGCAGATTTTCCTTCAGCTTGTGTATGCACACTACTACACTTCTCCACAATCAGAAATGTAAAGTGGAAAGTAAATGTATTTGAAGTTTGCTGGAAGGCATTTCATACTGTAACAGTTCAGCGGTCAATATACCCTCATCTTAGAACTTTTTCAAGGAAAAACATTATAAAGCAGCATTTACAGGTTCAGCCCAAACACCAAAACGACGACGTTCTTACAAGTAAGTTTCTTTACACTATTCAGGAACATCTATGCCAGTGGAACTGTTCTAATGATCCACAGCACGTTTCTGGCCTGTGTCCACTGGCATTCTTCCCAAACAACTCCCAGGAGGAATTCAAGAGTTATATGTTTCAAGGAGCAATTCGCTATAGGAAATAGATGCAGCCGTACGATTTAGGAGGCTAAAAAAGGCTTACCAGCCACAACACAAGCTTGTTACGTGCCAGTTAGCTGCAACTCCTGGGAATGTTCTCGGGCACAATTAGTAGAATAACCACCAGAGGGTATCAACACTTTAAACGGAAAGGGGCAGAGCGGGCACAGAGCCAACTCAGAAAATTGTGTGTAAGGTAACCCTGGAATTCTAGTTTAAGATGTCAGAAAAGACTTCTGATATTAGGCAGAGGATGAAATTTCTATGGGAAGTCTTGGAAAATACTGTGAATTCCCACCCTGCTTTTTCTTCTTCCTCCTCTCTTGTTCAATAATCACCACGCATCTGGAAGATAAACACACCTAAATCACCTGGATATTTTTTTCATCAAGATGTGGGTAATAAAAATGACCAACTACAAGCAACAATAAAATCACATAGATGCAAAATTACGTCAGAACAGGAAAAAAAAAAGAAAAAAAACCAAAAACTTTTCAACCCTCATCCTCCTAAAACATTGAGTTTTGTTTCAAACTTCAGAGCAGTAAATTTCAAAAATGCCTGCATTTGTAGCACATGTCTGCACGAGTGAATGATTTAATTATGTTTTATGATACACTGCATCCTGACACATCTCCTGTATTTAACACTTGATATTTTATAAATAATTCCTCACTCTAATGCCACCTTTTTTTTTTTTTTTTAAATAAATTTTTGAGGCAGATCAGTGAAAACACGTTAGAATCAGACTGAGGTCAAGACAATGCACTAACCCTTAATTTCATTCTGGCTTTCTTCTCTTTTTCTTTCAAGTTCTTTTCGATCATAATTCAGTCTTCGTAGGCACATAATTCCACACTGAAAACTGTTTCTGTTTAGGGAAAAAAAAAGTGAGAAAAAAATCATTTTGAGATAACAGAAACGTTTACTGTAAGTTAGGTCTCCAACTTAAATCTATTTACCTGTGAAAGCTGTCCACCATTTTAAGTTGCCCACGCAGATCTTTTTTAGTTAAATGATCCAGCATTCGAGCATCAACGAGACATTCCATGAAATAGCTGCGATACTGAGGGAGCCCCAAACTAGGGAGCCATTCATTGCCAATCCACTCATGGTTCATATCACCATATGCTAACGTCTGTTTTTAAAAGATTAAGGCATAAGCTTATTAAAATGAGAAATAAAAGAGCAAAGCTTTTTGTTAGACAACGTATTTTAAAGAAAAAAAAAGTAAAACAATGCTTACTTAATTCTTAGCCTGTAAAGATAAGCAAATCAAAATATTGAATACTACATGTACGTTCTCTGAAGAAGTCATCCTCACAAAGAAAAGCAAGTTTTAATATTCAGATCAGCAAGTAAAATGCCTTAATTTATTTCATGTTGAAGAGTATAAAAATATGGAGAAGCTAACAAAAATAAAAGACTAATCTATATGGTTTTGAAAGCAAGAGGAATTTCTTTTCATTAAGATGTTGAAAATATTGTATCTCTTGAAAATTGGATGGGGGAATCTTATTTTTTCACATGACCATATAAATACAAGATATCAAGACCCCCAAACCTGCAAGGTTTTTTTGAATACACTTAACTGTTCTCAGAAACTGGTAAAAATCCACTACTGAAGAACAAGCACTTCTAAATGCTCGTCCTTATCCTTAAACAGAGCCTTATCTCTAAGGCATTTTTGACCTGTAAATCACCAGGCATTTTTTTCTGGAGAAAACTTCTGAGAAGAGAGTTTGTAACTATGCATCTAATCATTCCTTGAACAGCAAAAAACCAGCAGCATCTTTTTTTCAAAAGTCAAGGGTAATAATTCATTTTTACTGTGCAATTAAAAGTCAAAAGCTTTATTTCTCCTCTAGAGGAAGCACCTTCTAGAAAGGAGCAAGGCCCCACAGAAATGCATTTCTTCAAGCCATGGCCAGGCAGCAGACTGCAAGAGCACGTTACTCTCGGAACAGGGAGGCAAGCTATGATTGTTATCACTGACAATCTGCAAATGAGTATCCCAGACGCAGTTAATGGGACTTAAACAGATTTAAGCTGGAGGGCAGCCAAGCAAGAAGAGTATACTGTCCAAAGATACGGGTCACGGGCAAATCCCGAGTTTTGTTTATATCCCTGTATAAAATACTCAACTATATCAATGCCTGAAAATACAATTAGGATTTGTCACCACTTTAAGGGAAAACAATTAATCATGGAGGATTACAGAATTAGCACACAGAAATCTACTTAACTATCTAGGCTCAGCGCATCTTGTAGCACACCTGTGATGGTGGCTGCGCTGAACAGGGACTTTCTGCACAGAGCAGATATTCTTCTTGGACTTCTGGCTTCCCAGAGAGCCATTCCTCCACCAAAGCATTCCATGTTTTATGTGATGAAGTTATTTTAAAATTTGATCTAGTGTGTTAAATGTGTAGCATACAAGAATGCTTATTAAGAAAGACTAACTACATTTTGGTGCTTCATAAGCTAGAGGATAAGTATTTCTGAATATTCTTCCCCCTAACACCCCTATTATTAAAAATCCTTATGCATCGCTTTTTGGTGATGTACTATGTAACAACGTATTTTACAAATTTCCAACGATCAACCACCAAATCTTGGAAACTCTAGAAAACATTAAAATACTTAAATCATCTAAATATAAAAATGTATCTTCCAAGTATGTATTATACAGAGCTAAACCTGCAGTTTCCCCCACTCCCAATCCCCAAGCCACACCAAGAGTCACTAAAAGAAACTGCGATAAAGGAAACATGCTCTAATTATTGTGACAGTTTACATATAGATGATAATATTACATAAAGTTTCCAACCTGAGCCCAGCTTCCCTCCTCATCTTCCTGTTAGGTGGTTAGAAAAGCAAAAGAACACATACGTATTAGTATTTAAGTTTAGTAAGGAGATCAAAGTTAAAGATGCACTGCAAGACTCTAAGTCTACTGCATACCAAAAAAAAATCTAGATAAAGCAAGCATCATGCATCGTAAAAAAGTATATAAGGCACTCGTTTTCATATGAGAGGTTGCAAAACCCATCTACTGATTAAGTTTTCTGGAGAGAAGAAATTTCTGCACAAATAATTCAATTTGTCTATTACTTAATCCAATCAGAGATCCATTTAGCAGATTAGAAAGAGTTTTGTTTACAGTCTTATCAGTGGCGATTTCCCCCCCCCTTCCGGAAAAAAAAAACCCAAAACTATCAAGATGCAGGTTACAAGGTTAGTAATTAGAATGATCCAGAATGATCCAGAATTTTAATGCATTAATTTGGGGGGGGGGGAAGAAAAGAAAAGACGACCAAAAGGTATTTGATTCAAATGTTCAAAAAGTGGGAAAAGCACTCTAAGGAACAGAAGTGGCAACACTATAAACTAACCGTTTGCTGTGTGGCTGTAAGATTTTCCATTTCTTCATGTGTTACCCAGACATTTCCCGTGGTCTAATATGACCCCACAGGGAACCAATCCCATCCAGTGAAAGGAAAGCAGTAACAAAGAGGAGAGGTTGCAGAACATATAAGCAATCGGTACACGTAAGGAGCAGGCATGGGCAAAAGCAATGGTTTCTAAAGTCTTAAATAAAGGTATATCTATTGAAAGTAATGGCATGGAATAAAAGCCTATTAACATGGATCACTTTTCTTCACAGACATTAACAAAATTGAACTTGATAAATAGCTTACACTGATGTCATTACTGGGCAAACACTTGTCTCTGCTCTAATCCGAAAAAATGCATTTGGAGTCCAGTACGTAATCCCTGGAATCTCAGAAATAACTTTCGATTGCAGGGCAGATTCATGAGAGGGAATTCACAGTAAGTTTTAATGTCTAAATTTCCTATAGTACAGAGAGACGTGTGGACTCCTAGTTTATGTAGTCTGAATCATTATTTGGAGTTAATGGCCTCATACATGGATTAATGGAGCCTCTATTTTACAAATTTCTGTACGCACATGCATACTTCATCTGTATTATAAATTCTTCTGAGGCCAAAACACGAGGCAAATAACATGTCCTCTAAGTATTCTGGATTACATACTTACACTTT